GGGGGAGCGTGAGATAGAGAAAACGAGTGAGAAAAGTAAGCGGTCCAAAGATTCTTCAAAAAATACATCAGCCTGTGGGAAGCCAACAAATCTAGGATATCTAAAACTATTGCTGGAACCTACCACTCAAAACAAAACACTACAGTTTCAGAAAAAGTTCCCAGCGCCCCACCCTCGACCTGGGCCTACACTGTCGCGTCCCTCTCTGAAACCGTCTAAACTCACAGGTGTCCTTCGGGAAGGGCTAAGCAGGGCCTACCGGCACTGCCCGCCCAGGAACTCCAAGGCCCGAGCGGCGACGGCCAGCCGCGCTTGGTCGTAGCTTTCGCCCAAGCCAAAGAAGGCAGTGGCCCGCGGGATGTCTAGGCCCGACTCCGGCTTGCGATCAAAGCCCCGGGCGCAATTGCCAGGGGAGGGGCGAGACAGGGAAAGGCAGGGCCGACAAAAGTGGGGGAGGTTGGGAGCGGTAGCAACAGGCCGAAGACCAAAAAGTCGCCGAAAAAGACGCGTATAAAGCCCTGTCAGAGACACCCGGAAGATCGACGTGACCCCGGATGGGAACAGCCAGCAAGGAGCGAGAGGTCACACTTCCGGCGGTCTCCTCCACCCGCTCCTGCCAGCTCGGTGATCGAATGCGCATGCGACCTTGCAGTCTCCAGCCTGAGTTGAGGTGGAGGCTGTGTCGCTGCGTGCGCTAGTGGAACGCGGTTAGGATTGTCGTGAGAAAAGAGGGAACGACTCGTCCGCAGAGGGCTACGTCTGGGCCCCTGCCTGAGCTGGGGTGCAGCAGGTCTTGTTCTCATAAACGTATTTTGCTGGTCCTTCCTATCACATCCCGGTGACTCCTCCCCAGCGAAGCTTTCCCTAATGCAGTTTTCCGCCGCTCTTCTCCACAGGATCAGTATTGAGCTTTAATTGTTGTTTCTCGCCTCCACTGAACTGAGAGGTTCTTTGGGAACAAAAATGCCTTATTTATCTCTAAAATTCGGACTCAGCGCTCTGCCCATAATGATAGCTAATATTCAGTCGCTTAATAAGTATTTACTAATATTTCTTCTGAAGTGAGATTTGGTAGTTGTGGAAATATCTAAATTGTTGCATTTATTGATGTAAAACTGTTCATAATAATTTCTTTGTTGTTGTTAGGTGCCCTCGATTCAGTTCCGAGTCACAGCAACACTATGTACAACAGAAAGAAACTCTGCCCAGTCCTGCACCATCCTCAAAGTCGTTGCTATGTTTGAGCCCATTGTTGCAGCCACTGTGTCAATCCATCTCCTTGAGGGTCTTCCTCTTTTTTTGCTGCCCCTCTACTTCACCAAACATGACGTCCTTCTCCAGGGATTGGTTCTTCCTTATAACATGTCCAAAGTACGTGAGACAAAGTATCACCATCCTCACTGGCTTCTGTACTTCTTCCAAAACAAATTCCTTCTTTCTTCTAGCAGTTTGCGGTATATTCAGTAATTCTTCACCAACACCATAATTAAAGTGTGTTAATTCTTGTTTGGTCTTCATTATCCAGCTTTCACATGCATATGAAGCAATTGAAAATATATCATGGCTTGAGTCAGGTGCACAGTGCTCCTCAAAGTGTTGTCTTTGCTTTTTTAATACTTTAAAGAGGTCTTTTGCAGCAGATTTGCCAGTGCAATATGTCTTTTGATTTCTTGACTGCTGCTTCCATGGGCATTGATTGTGGATCCAAGGAGAATGAAATCCTTGACAACTTCAATATTTTCTCTGTTTATCACGATGTTGCTTTTTGGTCCAGTTGTGAGGATTTTTGCTTTCTTTATGTTGAGATGTAATTCATACTGAGGACTGTAGTCTTTGATCTTCATTAGTAAGTGCTTCAAGTTCTCTTCACTTTCAGCAAGCAAGGTTATGTTATCTGCATATCACAGGTTGTTAATGAATCTTCCTCCAATTCTGGATACCTTATTCTTCATATAGTCCAGCTTCTCGATTACTTGCTCAATATACAGATTGAGTAAGTATGGTGAAAGGATACAACCCTGATGCCCACCTTTCCTGATTTTAAACCACACTGTATCCCCTTGTTCTGTTTCAACGAGCGCCTCTTGATCTATGTACAGGTTTCTCATGAACACAATTAAGTGTTCTGGAATTCCCATTCTTCTAAATGTTATCCATAATTTTTTATAATCCACACAGTCGAATGCCTTTGCATAGTCAATAAAACACAGGTAAACATCTTCCTGGTATTTTCTGCTTTCAGCCAAGATCCATCTGACATCAGCAATATCCTTCATTCCACATCCACTTCTGAATCCGGCTTGAATTTCGGGCAGTTCCCTATTGATATACTGCTGCAGCTGATTTTGAATTACCTTCAGCATAATTTTGCTTGCATGTGATATTAATGATTATTGTTCGATAATTTCTGCATTCTGTTGGGTCACCTTTCTTTGGAATAGGCACGAATATGGATCTCTTCCAGTCAGTTGGCCAGGTAACCGTCTTCCAAATTTCTTGGCATAGAAGAGTGAGTAGTTCCAGCATCGCATTGGTTTGTGGTATTCGTAGAGTCTTGTTTTTTGCCAATGCCTTCAGTGCAGCTTGGACTTCTTCCTTCAGTACTATTGATTCTTGATTATATGCTACCTCCTGAGATGGTTGGGAGTTGACCAATTCTTTGTAGTAGTGACTCTGTGTATTCCTTCCATCTTCTTTTGATGCTTTCTGCATCGTGAAAATGTTAGTTCTCCCCGAATTGACCTTACACATTCATTACAATCCCAATCAAAACCCCAGAAGGCTTTTTTGTAGTAATGGATAAAATGATCCTAAAATTTTTATGGAAATTCAAAGGATCTAAAATAACCGGAACAACTTTGGAAATAAAGAACCAAGTTGGAGAATTTATACTGCCTGATTTCAAGACTTGTTAAAAAGCTACAGTAATCCAGATAGTGTGAAATTGATGTAAAGAGAGACAAACAAATCAATGAAACAGAATAGAGAATTCAAAAAAGAACCCATGTGTATGTGGTCAAATGATTTTCAACAAAGGCCAAAGGCAGTTCAGTGGAGAAAGAATAGATTTTTCAGCTAATAATGTTGACACAAGTGGATGCCCATAAGCAAAAAACAGACAAAAACCTCATACCATATGTAAAAAATGGATCATAGACCTAAATTTAACATTTAAAATCTACCAAAAGCACTATCCTTAAAAGAAAACATTGATAAGTTAAACTTTATCAAAATTAAATACTTCTGTTTGAAAGACACTGTTAAGAGAATGAAAGGACTGCCACAAAATGAAAATATTTTCGAATCACATATCTGATAAAGAACTAGTATCCAGAATGTATATAAAAACTCTGATAACTCAATAATTACAAAATAACCCAATAAACAAATGGGCAAAAAGCTTAAATAAACCATTCGCCAAAAAAGCCATAGGGATGGCAAATAAGCATATGAAAAGATGCTCAACACCCATTAGTCATTAGAGAAATGCAAATTAAAACCACAATGAAATGCCACTATCTATTATGGTGGTAATATTAAAAAGACTGGCCATATCAAGTGTTAGCAAGAATATAGAGCAACTGCAACTCTCATACACTGCTGATGAGAATGTAAAAGGGCATAACTACTTTGGAAAACACTTTGGCAGTTTCTTAAAAAATTAAACATATATTTACATGTGATCCAGCCATTCCACATCAAGATATTTACCCAAGAGAAATGAAAGTATATGTCTACACAGAGGCTTGTACACCAATGTTCATAGCAACTTTATTTGTGATAGCGAAAAACTGGAAACAACACAAAATCTGTCAACAGGTAAATGGATAATCAATTTATGGTGTACCCAAACAATACAACAATAGGACACTACTCAAAATAAAAATAAATTTAACTATTAATATGTGCAACATTATGGGTGAATCTTAAAATAATTGTGCTGAGTGAAATCAGACAAAAGCAGTACATACTGTATGGTTCCATGTATGTACAATTCCAGAAAAGGCAGACTATATTGAGAAAAAGCAAGTCAGTGATACCCTGGAAGATGAGAGGAGGGGTGGAGAAAAAAAAGAGGGAGAGATCACAAACGAGTACAAGGAAACTTGGGAGTGATACTCGTGGTTATCTTGATTGTTGTGATAGTTTCCTAGATGTGTTCATATGTTAAAATATGTGCAATTAATTATGTGTCAATTATACCTCCAAAAAGTTGTTAATTAAAAAAAAAAAAGTCAGGAAAACCTATTGGTCCCGCTTTCACTTTGAATAAATCCCTTAAACTATGAGCGATTTTGTAACATCCTACAGTGGTCATGTGGAAATATTACTCACTGAGTTATGCAAATCTTCCAAATGTTGACATATTTCATTCTACAATATCAAAAACTCACATTTGTTAATATCACTACTGATCATATCAGAAGAATGTTTAAGTATTGGGAAGCTGTCAAGATCCTAGTGGCAATACAACTTTCACAAAATTCTAATTGTAGCTTAAAAACTCAATTATATAATGACAGCAGTACTGTCAGTTATTTTCTTTGAACTGACAGTTTCATTTATTGTCAAGAAAATGTCTTCCAAACACCTAAGTTTGAATAACCTGTTTTTCTGTCAATAAACTTCCAATGAAAATGGTGTTCTGTGATAAAAGCAGCTAGTTCAGCTTGCAACTCAAACAATCCTACAAGAGCTTTTCCTCAAGATAATTATAGTTTTTTGGTGTGTAGCAGAAATACTTTATGAATACTTCTAATTTTGTCATACAGTATTTTAACAGATGTGTATTCAAAGATCAAGATTTAATAAAATCGATTGTTTATTCATCAAGGACATTCTTAGTAAAACTGAAATTTTTTTTAACTGCAAGTTAATGTCAGTGAAGAACATAAGTACTTGATTTGTGCCAGTGGTGTTCAACTGTAGGTGATTGGCCCAGGGGACATTTGGCATTGCTTGGAGACATTTTTGGTTGTCACAATTTGAGGGGGTTGGCAGTGCTACTGGTATCTAATGAGTAGAAGCCAGGGATGCTGTTAAAATCCTCCAATTCACTGGACAGTCCCCCACGACAAATATTATCCAGCCTAAAATGCCAATAATGCTAAGGTTGAGAAACACTCATGTGAACTAAAGCATCAACAGTTTTACCCACCATTGATTTCTTTCTTTTTAATTTGAGATACACATCACATACCCTTTTAAAATGTACAGTCCGGTGGTTTTTAGTATATTCACAAAGTTGTACAGCCATTGTCACTATCTAATTTCAAAATTTCATCACCCAGTACACATTAGGAGTCATTCCCTATTTTCCCCTTCCCTCAGCTCCTGGCAACCACTGATCTATTGTCTATCTCTATGGATTTGCCTATTCTGAACATTTCATATAAATGGAATCATTACAATATGTGGCCTTTTGTATCTGACTTCTTTCACTTAGCAAAATGTTTTCAAGGTTCATCCATGTTATAGCATGTATGAAATACATAACTGAATGATACATAACTGAAT